AGGAGATATGGCTTGACTAGAGACTTGAACTTAAAGTCTCTAGTCAAGCCATATCTCCTTGGCATATATCATATTGAATCTGGATCTAGAAGAGTAAGTTGCATAGGAATTCAGGTGTCCAGCCGCACACGCGTTCGCGAACGGAACTAAATTCAGAGGCCACGGGCATCCGAGGCTTGTGGCCTGCAGGCCTTCGGGCCTGGAGGGCTGGGAGGAGGGGGGTCAAAAAAATGACCTGGTGTCCAGATGCGGGGATCAATTTTCTTTTTCTTTTGACCCCCCCATCTGGCCCTCCGGGGCTGGCTGGAGGCTTCCCGCCCTCAGGCACTGACCCTAATCCTCGAACCCCGGACCCTTTGAAACTCCCACATTGCTTTGTTTTGCACCAGATTTTATAAGTAAGGTTTTATGATTACCCTTCTGCGTGTACAGCTAAGCCGTTTTTTGTTCGGATGTATTTCCAACACAGAAACTTTAAGCGACAATCCACAAAACATCGCAAAATATTGTGGAAAACAGTGGCCCACAGCGCTCCTTTCTGCAATCAAAACTTCTAAGATCACAACAGCGATCTGGACCTTGCAGCCAAGGTTGATGCTCGGCTCAATCCATTGACGGTACCTCGCAAAACGAAGACATCAATGGTGCTTGACAGCATCGTTCGACATCAGACTGGGTCCAGGTCTCAGGTGGTGTCACTGCGAGAGCAGCGGGCCTCGCAAACTGGTCATATACTGCAATATTATATGGCGCTTTGCTGATTCGGAAGGAAGATGTTCCAAGCGCTGGTCGCTAGCATTTTAGCAGCCAGCGGTCGCAGGTGATCCCCTGCCATGAACAAGGAGAACTCTTAACTCCTAGCTGTTAGTGTTCTCTGTTAGTGTTCTCAAGGTGCCTCCAAGAACACAAAGCCAAAAACCACCATCATCCGTCGATCCCTCCCCCACCCTTCATGCCGACAACGTGTTCGAGCGCCCGTTGAATCCGCTAGCTGTGGAGCCACCAGCAGTATCCAGCCCCAGGGTGCAATCCAGCTCTGTTCGCTCGGGATGCCAGCTGAAGTCGGCAAAGCCAAAGCTGCCGCTGCAATATTGCCCCACACAAGTCCCCCAAGCCCAGAGAAACTGGAGGTCACCGGTGTGGCCACGGCGGACCGTGAGAGAGAATGTCAACCATAGGCACCCGACCGGCCGTTTGCGGTCACACTGAACACTTGCCCGGCAAAAAAAATGATTGGCATTGCGATCGATACACATGGTGACGCAACAGTCAGAAGCGATCTTGGTTTTTTGGTCAGCCCACACGAGCAATGTCGCGCTGCCACGTGGAGATGCGAAGCACTTTCGGAGAACGAATCGAATTGAGTTGTTGGACGACCCTTTCCCCGACATGCTGCACAACCTGAAACTCTCTCACTTCTATTCCGTGCGTATACCGAGTCTGTACACCTTCGAACAAGGACGTGGTCAAATTAAGCCATCAATGACTCAACCGTTGGTATCCGTTGGTGCTTCTTTGGAGCAGAGGCAGCGAAAACGTGCAGCGTTTTGACTCCAGGCCACTTGTGACACCAACGCAAAAGCAGTAAGCCAGCCTTGCCTATTGAATGAGCGAAGGCCACTGTCCTCACAGGCATGTGCCATGAGAAATGCATGCACAAGATTGTCCAAAGAGCGTGTCCTTGCAAACTTGTACTTTAGAGCGAGTACCAATCCCTGGCAGTTCAAGGCATGACAACGACCGCGGAAGACGGTATGGTGTGGACATGTCCGGGGCACCATGTAACCCGTCCAAAGGCTTCCCAGGGCATCAAAGATACGCTGTGGATCAACCTCAAGCGTTACACTTGCCAAGTTCACGGGAGCACCCTGCTTAGGAGCAGACCGTACAGAGTACCAGTTGGACCTTTTCCCAGGCCGACGTGGGCCCTGGGTGCGGGGAGTAACAGGAACCCGTTTTGGGGAGTAACGGAAACCATTTCTGGGGGTCGTAACGGGAATGAGGGCCAGGAGGAACAGGAACTGCACTGGCAGCGTAACAGGAAGTGTCCCAGGAAAGCCAAGCAACCGAAACTAGGCTGGAACTCTTGTGTGGGGGGGGCCGGTTTTCGGTCCACCATGAAAGCCTCATTCCGACGCCTAGGTTTCGTTCGAGGCATATGGAATTTGGGGTTGAAACGGGTTCACGGTTTGGGATATTGGATGCCAACGGCAATACATTCCTTGTCTCAGAAGCCACAAATTGCTTCTTCGTGTTGTTTTTGTCGAATCCATATGGATGTTTTATCTTACAAGAAGGTTGTGGCGGGCTAGGCTTTTGCACGCCATCGTGGACAGACCAGCGCTTTTTGGGTCGAAAGTTCAGGCTTTCGTGTTTTGGGAGGTTCAGGGGTTCAGGGGTTTATTGTTTTAGGGGTTTAGGGTTGACGGGTCCAATTGAAGGGTCCAGGCATTTGCCCGTCGAAAACGGCTTTAAACGTTCGAGAACGGTTTTAAACGCTCCAGAACGGCTTTGGGGGTTTGGGGCTTCGGTCAGCTCTCAGCACCAGAAATAGGACTAAGAAAGAAGTGACGAGACTAGACACAGGAGTCTTCGTCATACCACACGAGTCAAGCAATCACTCGCAGCAGACACATGCAATGCTATTCTGGAACATGAATGGCAACACCGATGCTGTAGCCATCTTAAATTCAGGACTAAGGTTGCTCCGGACATGTGATGAGGTCAGTTTCTAGTGCTACACGACATGACATGTTGAAGCCGTATAAGTTGGGGACCGGAAAGCGGTCCCTAAGTTGGCGAGCCCACAAGGGCAGGTGGATGTGAAACAAGTCACTCTTGGAGCCCTGCACTGGTTGCTGTTACCAGGGGCGGCCTGGGGGGTGTTGCAGGAACTGGTGGTTGCTGTTACGGGATCGGCCCAAGTTCCTGTTGCGGGTTCCCGTTACGGACATCTTGTTCTCGTTATACGGGGCAAACACTCGACGTGGGTTTCCTAGATCCTGTGACAGACAAGCAAGACAGGCAAGCACGGAAATCGCATGCCGGGCCACAGAATTTGCAGCCGTCCTTTTCCATGATGGGATTTGCTTGAAGGACTGCAACCACATCTACCTTTGCCGACAGCTGTGACTAGGGTGCCTCGAAACACGGAGCAGAACTGAGAACTAGCCTGGAGATCCTGGAGGCTCGCGAGCCTAAGAAGCGTGTTGGTTTTTAAAGCCCCAAGTACGCTGGCTGGGGCCTCCACATCTGATCACCACCTGCACTTTTGAAGGATTCAGCTGCTGCGAAGAAGGCAGTATAGTGGCCGCCGAAGAAGCATTGCCCAAGACCTGCATGACAAGAGAGTCAACAGGCATGCTGGAAAAAGCCGTTGACTTCTGTGGGCTCTGCAAATTGTGCTCCCGATTATTTCTGTCGAAACGATACACTGCATTGCTGTGGAGGAGGCATGCAACTGTTGATCGAGGCTTCTTGAACTTTCCCACAAGTAAACACCCGACTTGCTCTCATTTTGTGCTCTGCTCCTCGCAGCAGGTAGTCTGATCTCATTGCGGGTTTTATTTCTGAAAGTTCAAATTTGTCCCCTCGCGTCTGTATGTGACGGTAGAGACTTTATAAGCTGCAGACTGCGAGTTGTAACCATGGCCGGGCGGACCCCACAGGCAGGTGGCTGCATCTCGAGGCAGAGCCTCTTGTCTCTTGGAGCATCGTAGCACGCCCATGCCTGCAGCACTCCAGGCCTTGTAGATTTTGAAGAGACAAGAGTAGAAGCTGTACACTGGTGGACCAGCAACCTGCACGTTCTGCAATGATGCACTCACCGTTGGAATGATATACCACTGACACCTAGGACTCACGTTCCAACTGCAAGTCCAGGTCAGAAACATTTCGAAGCCAGGTTTGAGGCCGGGGGTGAAAAGCCGAAGGAAGTGGTAGAAACAGCAACAGCTGTTCCCATCTCTTTCTCCTGGATTCTTTGCACTGAGCCCAATGCAGAGATGACATTGCCGGCCATCTCCAGTGCAGGTCTGCCAATGCCATCCAGGCAGTGCGAGAGCCAGGGAGTGCCCTGGCAGTCGGCTCAAGAGTCTTCCGCAAGCTCCGTGCAGCGTGTACGTACCTAGATGCATACATGCAGACATGCAACCCCTTGCCGTTAAGGGTAAGTAATGCCCTGAGGATATCGGGGATGTCCTAGTGCACTCTCGGTGGAGCCATGATTTTCCAATTTCTGAGGGATCCGTCCGCCGCTGCTGATCTGCCGCCGGACTAATCATGTTGTGGCGACGTGCCACTTTTACAACTCGCGCAGCCGCATAGCATGTGGCAAATTGCTGATGCATTCGCTGGCTGCCATGTGGTGGGTTATGTGGCGCGAGATGTACAGCAGAGATCCATGTCGAGTCCCCAATGCGATATCTTTTCGCCTCTATGAACAGTGACATCCCGGCAAATCGGAACGCTGCAGGAGTTGCCATGTATCTTCGCAGTAGGGTCTTTGCAGAACACAATCACCAGATTCGACGGGTGTATACCATTCCAAGCATATTCCAAAACATGCTCGGCAATCTCAAAGTAAAGACGACGGATATGTTGATCTCTCATGGGTACACGACAGTGAGCATGCGTACATCGACAGAATTCGGCTGTGTGTTAGCGCTGTGTGACGGGCTTGCTGTGTCGTTGCTACCAGTGCTTCTCAAATGGTCTGAAGCTGGGAATGGGATGTGAAGAAACGAAACTGGCGCCGTTCTTCCCATCGAACCACAAGCAATGGGCAGATTCCGGGTAGATGCACACCTGCACTCGAAAAGAGTAGTTTCACGCCTTCTCGGCACATGCTGGAAGAACATGAATTATGTTCTTGGACCAACCATGCAATACTTCCTCCGGAGTTGTCACGACATGATCATGCAGTAGCGGAGTATGCCTGCGCCGAAATATGCAAATTGGTTGCAGCACGTCTATGGCCCCAGCAAGCGGGACACAATATGCTGGTTAACATATGATTTATTCAGGCAGTCCGCATCGTTTTCTCGGCGAGAGTCGCGAGTGAAGCTGGCATCAGAATAGGTTAAGGTTGATGTTACCTGCGAATGACGCCCAAAACTGGTTGCTTCGGCTACAAGCACGTGTTCGCATCTGGATTTTGCTATTCCCAGGCTGACTGTGACTGGCAGACTTGATTTAGAAAGAGTGTTTACTCGCAGTGCATTCATATCAAGTGCATCAGTGGTATCAGGCCTGGGGACGGGGCCGGCCTCCGTTGCTGCACTCACGAAAAGCTTGGTAGGTGATGCCCTAAGAGCCGTAGCGGAGCCGTAGCGGATCGGGGTCTGGAATTCAGCCATGCTGTTCATGCTCATGTCTCTTCTTATGTTTCGCTATCGTAAAGATGCTCGTGAATGGATTAGGTGTCTGTCTGGCTCAAACAAGGCAATGGTTCGGGACATGAGGTTGGGTTTCAGCCTTGGGTTTCGGGAGGCACCAGGAATGTCCATGTCCTTCCTTTCTTCTTCAGGGCTGCTCGGCGCTCAGAATGTGCTTTCGATCTGTGCAAGAACAGCACAAGGCTGTTCCGGACCAGCCCTTTGTTCGATTGTCTCATGCCACACCTCATAATGGAAACTCAGCCAGACGTTCCGAAGTGCCAACTGTAAACAAGGAAATTTGATATGCAGGAGTTTGTACCATCAACGAATCTGTTGCCTCGGCAAGGTACACGCTTAATTTAGCCCCCTAGTAACAAAGGAACTCGACAGAATGACCGACCATGGGCTTCAGGCTGTGCCAGGGACGAATCCAGTGGGACAATCCTCCGCTGCAAGATCGACTGGTTGGGGGATTTCTTGAAAGCTTTTCTCGTGCAGGCGAACAGTACTTGGGACAGTCTCACCCTACCTTGGATGAATGGGCGCAACTCATGTTGGCGTGGGATCCTCTGAAATCTTGCCTTGTGGACTCCTTGTGGACGGCTCCCCTTTCCCACCTAGTTGGCTCTGTGTTGCGTTCTTACCCTCATGATGCGGCTGAGCAGCCGGTGTGGCTCAAGCTTCTTACTTTACATATGGTTCCAGCACAAGCCACGCTTCCTCCACGCAAGTTTCGCAGCTGGCAAGGTGCGGCTTGGTATCCCGAAATTATTTTTTGTTGGATTTGCATTTTTCCACTTCGACTTTGAGGCTGTAGTCCCTGCGGATGCAAAGCAAGCGATGACAAGGTCGGATGCGTAAACTGTTGTCGGGAACAGTTTCGCAGTTTCACACCAACTGAGAAGAGCCAGGCACAAAACGGACGTCGTGCGATTCGTTGGACCATTCGCTTCAATATCTATGGGGTCTATGGGAGCATGATTCGCCTGTGGCTGTTTTTTGCCGGCGGCAACAGCAACAAGCACAGGAGTACTTCTGTAGGCTTTCCAATGTCATGCTAGTACCATATGGTTCATCGGGTGTGGTGGCGAGGCACCGCCTACTCGGAGGCAAAGGATGGACGCAACTGTGAAGGAACTGGTGCAGACAACGAACGCATGTTGACCTTCGGTTTGCCAAAACAGCCTTGAGAAATTCACCGCCGTTTGTGAGTTGCTGGCTGCATTTCTTACCACACTGTTGATCCGAAAGGACGCTGCAGCAGTGAATGACATGTCATCAGCTGCACAGGGGCAACATCACGACACACAGGCCGCCGAACTCCGCAAAGCAGGGAAGCAGGATGAATGCGAAGTGTTGGAGGAGCCACGTATGGGCGGCCATGATAAAGCAGGGCATGTGATTGACGCTATATGTTTGCATCCGCAACTCGACAAGACTCATCAGATGGTTACCTGGGTGCAATGTAGATAGCTTGTGGCAGCGATACGGGCAGGTCCTCGCATGTGCTGCAAGCGCTTTCCCCAATAACTCAGAGCAAGAACACGCCTCTTCCCAAGGAGCCGACACCGGACAAGCGGTCAATGAACGAACATACATACGCACACGAAGTTTCACCCATACTCCGGTTGTGCTGCACTCATCTGACATACTTCTGCGTCCGCAGATGTGGCGGTACGAGAACTAATGTCCGTCGATTTTGCGCATTGCAGAACCCATCTCCATTTCATGACTGTTAGCCGGGTACGCCCTCAATATGTGCTGTATGTTCTTGCTCTTCAGGTCAAGGCACGAAGAAGGGTCGGCTGCGGGGCCCTCTTCCCCGACACGGCTGTCTGGTCCAAAGTCTGAGTGAAGTGAACTCTCTCACGCTGCCTTCCTGCCCACATGTTTTCAGTCCGGCCTTCGCATAGGTCGACAAAGCGAGTTGCTCAACTCGCATTTTCTCTTTACGACCAGTATAGGAACCTGCGCAAATTGAATTCGAGCTCGTGTGCCGCTTCTGCACATGCTTCTCATGGCCTGGACCACTCTCCGGATGCCTTCTCAGCTGGGATGCGCTTGTGATGACTGCCTGGACTGTGCTTGCATAATGCGCCGGACATGACGAGAAACGCGAAGTACACAACTTCTCGGGTTGGCCAGGGCAACGGCACTCAGAGCATGTGCCACAGCTTCTGGATTCTGCTGACTTCTGGCCGTCAGCAGGGCCCACTGATCCTGCGAAGACCCAACGCAGAAATTGCTTCGGACAAACTGCTATGCAGTCCTCTCTGACAAAGGCTGGCTTTTTCAGAACGCAGACAGGGAAGCAACTGTCAGAGTCACTGAAGCCTCCAAGGCCACACATTGAAAGGCTTCTTGAAGCGCTCACGCTGGACGACTCTCGGCGTCCTGCCGCTGCACAAAGGAATGACCTTAGGCGTTGATGCCAATTTTTCATGCACGGTTGTTTCGGCGGCATTAGTTTATTCCAGACTGGACGGCTCACTGCCAGCTTGTGAAGTTGCAAGAAAACGCAGAGAAACGTAACGTGCTCGGAAAAGAGGGCCTGAGGGGCTTGTGAAAACCAGCACCACGCCAATTCGGCACACTGCGTCCAGTGTATTCTACGACGACCTGGCCTTATTCCCGATTTTTCAGTACCACCCCTGCAAACAAATGCCTTCGTAAGAACACAGTTCCTTTCCATGTTGCTCGGGGTTGCTCTCGAGACATGGCCAAAATAAATTAACTGTGCCCAGTGGATGTAGCGTGTGAGGGGGGGGGTTGGCCTGCAAGGGCACGGACGCCTTCGTTGCGAATGGTCTGGGATGGTCTGGGCATGGGGCATTCTGTGAGGGTTTTGGTGTAGAAGATGGCTTTGATGAGCTGGAATTTGCGGAGTGACTGTGAGTGGAAGGCTTCCAGCCTGTGGAGGTCTGCTGCTGTGAGTGCCGCCGACTCCATACCATACGCCAGCACCGGGACAAACGGCGCGCTGTAGATCCGAACCTTCCAGGCGACGCTCAAGCCTGCGTGTTTCCAGAACATCTGTACTGTCATGAAGTGCTTGCGGGTTTTGGCCAGTCTGGTGGTCACATCGGTCTTGCTCGAAGAGTCCGACCGCAACATTACGCCCAGCTACTTGGCCTGTGGCTGTCTCCATCCGCTAAACCTGTGAGAAATTGGATATGATCGGAGGCGGTAGTCGAGCGGAGCAACACCGGGTTTTGGTAGTTCAGGGAAAAGTTGCTGTGGGATGCCACCTTCTGCAGCGTGTGCAGAATCTGTTGCCCCTTCTCCGCTGCGCCTGTGAAGATGGCACTGTCATCGTCGTACCCCAATTCATAGAACGGCTAATATTGGCTGTAGACCCACGGCAGAAACTTACCGTGCTTCTGCAAAGCCTCGTCCACGTCTGCCGTGGTCATGCTGTGCACCACCAGGAAGAAAGATACGGAGACAGGGGGCATCCTTGACGAATCCCAGAGCCCGCCTGTCAGGAAGGCTGGCTCGTCTGGCCCGCTGTTCCCTCTGTGAAGGTGGGGGCTCGGTATATAGCCGCCACCAAGTCGACGAAGGCTGGCATGACTGCGTGGCTGATGAGTGCCTTTTTAACCGCCTGTGGATGCAGCTTATCAAAACTTGCGTCTAGTCACGGAGCTGAACATACAATGTTGACCCGTGCCGTTCGGCGCTCTCAATGAGACGGCGCGCCTCGACCGCGAGGCTCGGAAGCCGAACTGTGAGCTGCGCAGCTTACCCGCGACAGCCGCTTTCAGCCCGCTTCTGCAAAATCCGTGCGAAGAGCTTGTAGGTCGTGCTCAGCAAAAATATGGGCCGGTAGTTATTGGGGTCAGCCATCGTCCCCTTCCTGTGGATTTTCACGACAGTGGCTTCTAACCAAGCCTGTGGGACCACACATGGGGTCGCGGTAGCGGCCCGGAACCTTGTTGGCGGCCATTCCCTTACACACCTGGCCCAATTCCTCTGTCGCAATGGGCTCATGCTCACCGGACTGTCGTCTGTGAGGGGGTGTGTGGGACCTGTGTAGGGGTGCCCAATGCTTTGTGGCGAAGTGCTGAGAAGGTGTCAGCTTGCTTGCTGCAGCCTTGGGGCTTGCCTTGTAGTCCGAGCGGATGCGCTTGATCCAAGCTAACCGTTAACCGTTCTTTAAACCACTGTTGCTTGTCGAGATGGGCCTGTGAGCGGATGGTTCTGTGTAACCGTAGCTCCTCCTCCTCCTCCTTGCCCTGCCCTGCCTCTTGCGGGCTGCTGAGCGCTGCTCAGATTTAGGGGATCTTGGGCCTCCGCTCCTGCGTCGACGTGCTGCTGCGGGTTGCTGGGCTGAGTGGGGTTGCGCCGGCGCTGTCGGAGTTGGGTTTGCGGTCTCTGTGCTGCCCTGTGAGAAGTGGGATTGCAAGTGGCCGTTGAAGTCCTGCTTTCGCTCCGCCTCCGGTCGCCTTATGGGTTTCTTTGCTTGGGGCTGTCTCTTGTGATTGGCGGTGCGCATGTTCAAATTGGTCAGGAAGTGATTGCTGCTGAAAGCCACTCGTGCACATCCGTGACCATGTTCCTCCACGAGAACGTGTTGACGGCGTGGTCCAACTGCACCATGTCACCATTGGGTCGCACTACGTAACCCTGTTCTGAGTGGCCTCCCACATCCAAGTCTGAGGAAGGCAGAGGTCGCGAGTGACACTCAGTTCGAAAAGGTGAGCGTGGTTTGAGAGCTGTTCCCGTGTTAGAGGCCAGCTCGTCTAGCAACTGGGCGTTGAAGTGAAGTCCCGAACCAGGAGCAGCGGTTCGCTTTTGGGTTGGCTGTGAATGAGTCATGTCGCTCAGGTCTGCCCAAAATTTTTTGCTCGCACCACCTGCTCCCGCTGGTTGTGTGGGGCGTACACCACCTGGACTGTGAGAGGGGCCTCGGCCGTATCCACCCTAAAGGTCAGGAACCGACCACTGATGGCCACAATGTCCAAAAAGCATGGCCGTTGGCGTCGAGGGCGTCGTCGGCTCTGTGCGTGACTGTAGACCCATCGATCATAAATTGGTCCTGTTGCTTGGCATGGGTTTCTGTGAGGGAGCCAATCCAGACCGTGGTGCCGCATGCGGCGGACCAGGCTGCGCAGCTTTCCTGCCTCGAGCAATCCTGTGGTGTTCCAAAAGCCACCGTTGACTCCCGGCTGCAAAGGAAAAGCTCTTGGAAGAGTCCAATCGCCTGCCAAGCTGTCACTGTGAGCCGTCGCCGCCCTGCTTGAGACGGCGGTTGATACACCATGCCTCCCACGGGTCCTGTGCGTAGCTATCAGGGACCACACCGCCTGAGTTCACATTGTTGATCTTGGCCGCTTCCACTGCCCGTCCAGCTCTGGCCCGCAGTAGCGGCTCTTCGAAACCATCTGTGTGATCGGCGAGGAGCTGGGCAGGCTCGCGTCACTGATTCCCGACGCCGCCTCACTGTGCATCCTCTTCACCGGCAGCCCCTCATCGAACATGCCATGTTTTCCATCAACTCCCCGGTGACTCGGTGGTCCTGAGGCTTGTGAAGCAGGTCCTTTCTTTGTCCTCCGGATGCACCTGTTTAGAGCAAGGGTAAGTGTTTTCCAGCGAGGGATACGCGGTTTTTGAAAAATATGGCGAAAGCCGCCCTGTACGGATTCATCAGGCTCTGAATTGGCGAAATCAGTCTCCGCTCGAACTGCATGACCACAGGCGACCACTTGACCGGACCAGCACGACGCCATTCCTGTGGAGTGCGCTCCCGTGAGGGCTGTGAAGTCTCCCTCGGTGTCTTCGGCCTCCTGCTTCTCCTTTTCCTTGTTCCTGGTGGGTACAAGGAAACACCCGGTCCGCAACCTCGAGGATCTTCTTGCAGCGCGGGGACTGTGAGGATGGAAATCTCCGACATCTCCGTCGCACTACCCGGCGCTCCCACATCCAGACGTGAGGAGGCAACGGCTCCTGCTCACAATGGTGCCCTTGGCTTGCTCCACCTGCACGAACAGAAGGTCCTTCTCGCACCAGGCTGCGCGGATCTTGATGGCTGGAACTTTTGGCTCCAGCAGACTCACCCTGTCTTTGGTGGCCGCCTGCGAGGTGACAAGGGAAGAGTAGACCGCACCGACCGTTGGGGCAACCTTCTGCTGCATGGCTGCCTGGGTCAGCTCCATGCACTGCCCTACTGCGGCCTTGCGTTGAGGTCTTCTCCTGCTGCATCCGGGACTGTCAAGGCTGACAGCTGCAGCACCGAAGGCACCGATGCACTACAAAAAGAGATTGGCATGCTGAGCCGTTGTTCCATCTGTCCCACTTTAACATAGAATTCCTTTTGGCTTGCTTCCCGCCGCTCCCCTTGCCGCTTCAGCTATTCTAGTTGGCTGACACACTGGGCCAAAATGCCTGCCAGTTTGTACGTTTCGGAGTTTGACATTGCACTCGCTACGCTACGACTGTAAGGCAAAAACTGTGCAGCCGACCTGTGCGGGACACAGCAGACAAAGGCTGGAACCGCCCACGAGCTTACGTCTAGCAGCTGGCATGTGAAATTCGGACTCAAGAGCAATCTGACTAGAGGATTCGCATCGGCTTTGCAAATGCCTGAAGCTCCAATCCCTCTTGCGCATTTACCACGGGGCAAGGGGACGACATCCCAGCTGTACCCTTCAACTTCAAAAGTGCACATACCTCCTACAACACCCAACCCGCTTGCTGCAAATGCCGTCAGTGCAAACTGGAGGTGCTTGGACTCTAGGACATGAAATGATTTCAGCGACGAGGCGATCGCGACTCCACAGCACGAGGCCACGGCCATAGCCCCGCGAGAGTACACGACTTTTGCCTAGAAGATGTCACGGGCAAACGCAGACAAGGCATGCCAGATCCAAGAGACCCTTCGTGCCTGCTCGGAGACCTGAGGCCCTCCGGCAAACGCAATGTAGATGTCGGCAACTCGGAGAAATACGGTCCTTAATTGGTCGGGCGCTGGCCGCATGTTGGACGAATCTGCTGGGGGCGGAGTGGCGGAGTGATAGTCTGAACAGACTTACTGTACTTCTTGCTAAGCAGACACCAATTTGGTTGATCCTTTCCAGCTCTGCTGTATGCAAGCAGCTTCGGGCTACTGCGAGGAGACTACATTTCGCAAACCTATGCAAGCTGGGCAGCATACTGTGTTTCTGCGACGCTTCTTCCGGCCTGGATCGCTTGGCCTTACAACTGAACAGATGGCAGGGTCCCAGCACGAGTCTCGGCAACTTCAGCGCTGCTCAATACCCCACGATGCTACTCAGGTGGTCACCTACGCGAAGCATGCCACCAAATGGGATCAGTGTGTAAACCTCGGCCCAACAAGCAAAATCGAAGCAAACAAGGCCAAGGCATTCTTGCCCTAGGACCATTGAGCACCAGGCCATCGATCCGTCTGCGCAGTTTACAAAGGTGTCCTCCCGTAGAGCTGGACTAGTCAGTGCTCCGGCACGGGCTGACTTTGCTCTCCTGAACTGCCGAGCATCCAGCAAACACAACGACTGCTTGACGCAGATCTTTGCAAATCCGCGTGGCGACCTGGAACTCATGACTACTCACCCGATACTCCAATGCATCCATCATAATCACGTTCAATTCTCGGCGACAAATCGCACCCGCCCTGCCTGCCCTGCGAGCTCCTTGCAGCCTGAAACCGCCCCAAGCTAATCCAAGTGCTCCCGACAGATTCCGGATCGGAAGAACCGCTCCAACAAGCATGGTCTTTTGTTTCGCCCGCATTTCGCCGCTTTGGCACCAGAGTCTTTGAGCATGTGCACAGTGCGTAGCTGACCCGAAGTTATCGGCTTGCGGTTCTGAGTTGAATTGAAACGGCCAAGGGTTAAGCACTCGACTGCCCAGCCTGACTTATAACTAGTCTGTTGAGCGACATGTGCCACATGCCCTGCTTTGCGAACTCCGTATGTCTGTCTGTGTGTGTGTGTGGGCATGCAATCTTCGTCTTGTTGGATGCGTGGAGCTCTCAGCGTCGGCGTCGACTCCGGCTGCGGGAGCGGCTGCTGCTTCGGTCTGGGACAAGGCAGGTCATCCAATCACATGCACACAGGCGCAGGGTGCATCCATCCTAGCATCCGGTTTTGCAGAATGATTCAACAATCGCATACACAAGCAGGTGTCGCAGCTGCTATCACGGGATGGTAAGCTGCGAATCAAAACACAGCAAGCACGAGGCCTCGACGCTCCTGCACAAGGCAGCTTATTGCAGCCATCAAGCACCGCTTCTTTCAGACTGCCTTCGAACAGCATCCAGGCCTTTCTTCCTCTGCCACGGCGATCCCTGTCTCGATCCTCACCCAGGGACTAAACCAGCATTCCTAGTTCCAAACTCGGCGCATTGTGAGTGAGCGGTTCGGTGCAGCTCCTTTCTTGACTTGCCTCTTCCTCGATCTTTGCTTCGGCTACCCCTCCTAGGCGATTCCGGTCATGGTGGCCAACAGGCAATTTCGGTCAAAACCCCGCCTTTTCTTCTTTACACCGTTCTCCTTTTGAGACTCGTCCTCAAAGTTGGCAGGAGGACCCGGAGTTGAAAAATGTTCGACGCTTCGACACTTCCAGTGGCTTCCAGGTCCTTTAGTTTGCTCTTGGACTTTGCTCTGTTGCTGCCTTCGCCGTCGCCATCAGCCTGCACAAGACTGTTCTAATAGATACAAACTGACGAAGGATGCCAGCCTCTTGCTCTGCTTTTTCCTCTTCTGCCACCTCAGAGCTCACTGCTGGTAAATGCAGCAATGAAGTCCGAAAAAACGGGCGGGCCTTCTTCATGTATTCCTCGTTCTTCTTTTTGCGCTCCTCTTCCTGCATGGCGGTGGTTCCCACATCATCCTACAACATCCACCAGATGCTGTTAGGACGAACGGAACCTTCTTCTCCTTGAGAATTCTGTCGCGCTCGGCCTCTGTCCAATAGCGGTTACAAAGACCTCTTGACAAGAAATTGCGCTCAAAGCAACTCGGCACAGGGCTTTCTTGTCTTTGAGCTCTTTGAGCCGGGCACGGATCTCCGCGTAACTGTTGTGTATCTCGCGGCAGAGAAATTCGATTCATGACTGTCAAAGACTTGGAGGATCGCCTTGTACCTCAGGTGCGCTTCATATTCGCCCTCGTTGTTGCCTCACAAGCACAACCGCTGGAGTCTCAAGCGTCGGAAGAAAAACTTCGGCCGCGGCTGATGTATGCAGTTCCACAAACCTGCCGCAAGTTGGAATAGCCGCGAAGCAGCACAAAAGGCCTTGCCTCACACGCCAACGGCCGAAAATTAGCTTTCACCTTCTCTTCTTCCTCCTGAACCACATGCATGCCAGCAAGCCAGGTAAAAGCTAACTTGGTTTAAAACTATAAGTTGTCCGCTGCGTTTTCGTGCAATTGAAACCTTTAGACCCCATGTCGTGACAACCTACATGCACAAAAACGTGCATTGTTCATACCTTATCCTTCATTCGGTTGTTCGATTCGTAATTGCTGGATGGCTTCCGTGGCCAAGACGTATCATAATAGCAAACTCAAATAAGACACACTGTATACTCCGGAAATTCGAGTACTTCAAAACCATTCGAGGAAATATGTAATAAACAAATGTTTCTAATTGTTTCGACACACACGCACACATGTAAACACAAACAAACACACACACACACACAAACACATATTACATATATATATATATATATATATATGTGTGTGTGTGTGTGTGTTTGATAGACCTACACACGCTTACACACAGAGAAGGCAAGTAAGCAAAGCAAGCAAGCAAGTACAAGTACAAGTAAGTGTGTACATGTATGCATATGTGTATATATATATATATGTATATTCACACGTATATTTCGTATGTCCATATGTATATTCAAACCTATTGTTTATGTCATCGTTTACGTATTTCTGAGGTACTTATGTCCATGTGCATTCATGTATACATGTATACGTACCAGGGTGCAAATAGTTGAGCATCTAGTTGTTATTATCGCTTGCAGAGATAGACACAAGCACATGCATGTTTGTATGTCCATATATATATATATACATACACATGCGTGGTTTCATCTTTCAAATGCTCGCGTTTGACAGCGCGAACCGAGTCTTGATATTCGACATAGCAATGTTGTGACTTCCACACATTGAAAAGATGAATGAAATCAGTGCTGCCGCAGATATACTAGCGTTCTCATGTCTCAAAAACCACACAACAAAGAACTTTCCCTGGCAATTATGCATGACAGAAAACTGCAAACAGGTGTAGTCAAACTGCAAGAACTATGTTCGCAGATTGTGTCTATCTACATTGGACGAGAAATATAGTTTTTAGAAATTGACAACACAAATGAAAGCAACTTTAGTAGATGCAAAAGCTTTTCGATAGATTACGTGCTGCTACCTGGGCTGCAGGTACCCCTGCTGTTCTGCGTGCTTTCAAAAGAAGCTACATACAAAGCATTTTGTACTCGATAAGTTTCTTTGGCCGGGACAGACGTCAACAATATTCATGGCTAGTCAGTTCGCAGTACTCAGAATCGAACTAGTTATTTTGTTTTTTGTCGGTCGTCTTTTGACCTGTACAAGAAAATATCAGTATTTTTCTTTTTATCATATTCAAGGACATCATATTTGGTCACTTTGGTTAAGCTATGGTGTATTTCAGGCTTCGAATATAATCTCACAAGGTAGCACCACTTGGACATGTTTATACGCTTACGGCAACGTTGCTTCAATGCAGAATGCGGCTTCACTCTGCAGCACTCAAACGCACATGTTTTGCTGGACGGCACTCACACCGAAAAGGAACTAAGACTCAAGGGATCCGCTGATGGCAGTGCACACAGAGAGCGGTGAACACTAAGCACTAAGGCGCAACATCACTGAAATTCACATATACTAGTATATAGCAGTGCCCGAACAAGCGGTTCGTTGTTGTCGCAGTCGTATGACACTCTCGACAAGTCAAAAATAGCTGATACTGAACCAAACACAAAAAAAAACAGCCACTCTAAGGCACCGATGGAAGCAGCACGACCTGGCAACGTTTTAGATTGTGTCCTCTAAGATTCGAAGTGGGCGGGCGGTTTGGGAGATTGTCGAACTCTTTTGAACAAAAGACGGCGCTGGGCCGGACCTCGTCGGATTCCCCAAGCGCATGGCAGAAAGCCAGCCCAAATTGCCACAACCAAAACCTACCAAACCAAAATCAAACAAAACAAACAAGCAAAAGAACACCCAAAAAGCAAACAAAAACAATTGTCTACGAGTCTTCCGAAATTCTGTAATCCAGGGCTCTGGGCCAAGATTTTGAAAAAATTGGTGTTTTTTGTGTGTTTGTGTTTTTTGGGTTTTGTTTGTTTGCTTTTGTGGTTGTGGCTTCTTGGTTTTGGTCTTCTTAATTTGGGTATTTGGTGTCGGTGTTTTTCTGGCTTGTTTGATTTTGTTTTTTCGGTGGTGTCATACTGTTTTTTGTCTTTGTCTTTTGCGTACTTCTTCTGGGGTGTTTGAAAATAGCATTGATTTCTTATTCATATTAGCTTCTTTGTCTTGGTGTGCATTCTCGCGAAAAAGCAAAAAACACAGCGGACAGGTTATGGCCTTAAACCGCTAGTTAAGTTTATACTCCAGTTTACGTCACATGTCGTGGCAGTCGTTGCGATGCTTATGCAACACTCGCCGCAACAGCAGTCTGTGCAGGTGAGCAGGTGGACTCCTTATTCTGCTCGGCTGGGGCACAATCTTCAATAAGCAAGGAAGACCTGATCGGTCCTTCTCATACTTTTTCGCCTCTTCCAAGAGATCGTCAGACTGCTTCATCAGCTCTTCCTGGAACCGGATGGGGAATGCAGGGAGTGCTTCCAAAATATTCCTGGTTGTGGAAATCTCGACTGACCTGCTGAAGTCGAAGTACACCTCTCTCGGCACATCGAATGCTGACCTCGCCTTCTTGCGAGCCTCGCAGTCTTCCAAAGCGTTGGCCCTGGCTTCAAGGTGCAGCTGTTGGTCACACTTTGCAGGTCATTCTAGAACGTGGTCCGAAAGTGGTCACGAACAGATGATTGAGGCTGAGCAGTCATGACCCCTCTCTGACGCGGATATCTGTGAGCCCGGCTTCTGCGCCAAGTTGGTGCTTTCCCGCTTCATCTGCGAAATCTTCCTGAGAAAGATGCGGTGAAGTCGCTGAAGGCATCGGCAAAGTGTTCGCGTAAGGAACCAATATAAAAATGGGGAAAGGCAAGGATACTAAGCTTCTCCGCAATTCTTCTGACACAGATGGCGCGTCAATGGCGAGCGGACCCCGAGTGGCGTTTGCAGCAAGGTGACTGGTTCACATCGGCAGGCAGCGCCTTGGACCTTTCATCGCACAGAGCCAACAAGGCCACAGCTGATTCAACTCCTTGGGTGGTTGCGATTGACGGGTTCAGCGGGTTCAGCTATGTTATACCCCGACCCGCCTGTATCGGCCCTTTCTGAGAGCCGTTGTGTGTCCCAACGCCTGGACTAAAGGCCGTGACGATGCACTTGAGCAGATTTGAAGCCCAAGAGTCTCCAAATTCTACCTTCTGCGCCTGCATTCTAGCGAAGTTCTGTCCCCATGTGCGAGGGCATCACGGCACTGGCACCACCTTTCAAGCTGCCAGATCCGTTTGAAAACTGTGTCGCCGGCCTGGGTTCCTTCCGCAAGCGTTCTACCTCTCTTCGGCCATATGCCTCGTACACAAGTATGCGAGCCAGTTCCGATGCTGCAACGGGGTCGCTGGCCTCGGCCTCCTGGACACAAAACTCCAAGTCGCGAATCGAGTACTCCTTCGCCAGATCCGATCCGAAGCTCTAGATGTCAGATAAGGACATGAGAACGCCGGCCGCAAGGGGTCCTCGTACTTGATTCTTAGATCGCTGCCCTCTTTGCCATCTTTACTGGCTAAGAACTTCTCTCGGATCACCTGCAGTGTTGCAGTTCTGCATAAACGTGCGAAACATCAGCAAAAGACAGCACGAGGTTCGCATTTGTTCCCAAAACCTCCCAAAGCTTTCACGCCTCCGAGTGGATTTTGTCGCAAGGATCGATGCCCCGCTTGCCGCCCACAACGGACTGCATGCAGCAAACTCAGACGGACAGACTGCCAGTCTTGCTACTCAGGAGAGCCCGCACTGCGAATCACGTGCCTTGTCGAAGGGACAAAAGCCAATGAGATATCCTCAGCTTCTGATTTACTGGTTGCACCATTTGGCGACTGCATCTTGCTTTCTGTCTAACGTCTCTGCAGGCAGCACAGTTAGGAAGAGTGGAGGTACAGCAGCACCAGCAGGGTAAAAAACGGTGGGTATTTCTTGAAAGGGGTTTTGGGGACATGCAGCCGTCCCATTGATGTCGTACGATATCATGTTTCGCATGCACGGAACAATCCTGAAAGGATTAGCGGCACGAAAACAGGAAGTGACTAGCAGGGTGCAAAGAAACCAACTCGTTCTGCCAGGATGCATTGCTTCCAATAGCAGAATGTCTTTCAGCAATCGCACGAAACACTACTCGGCAACTTCTGTTGACGCCGCGACACCTTTGCAAATGCTCTTGTCCTGGCATGGACGACGGCAGTTGACTGACTGTGAAGCACAGGCCGCAGGAGATATTAAACAGGTGGGAACAAAGTCAAGGTGGCAGAATCTTGCAGCCTTCCAGTCTTCTGCATTGTCGTCTTTCTTCTTCTGATCCCGCTGTGGGCCTTGCTGAAAAAAGCATAGGCTTCGAAATGCATGGCTTGTCATCAAAGCCGAGGAGATCCTATAGTCTGAACTTCTTCAGGGGCCAGTGTTGGAAGGCCACATGCATCATTGCTCACACTCGACGATGATATGCGAGTAGCCAAATGTGTCATGAACCTGCACTAATGGAGACGAAACCAGCGAAGCTAGCAAGTGACAGCGTGATCATGCAGCTTACCGAAGAGGAAACACGAATAACTTCTCCGCTCGGGATTTCTCCAGGCTTCAGGCCCATGAGGGCATCCAGCATTGCTCGTGCCTTTTCGGGAGTCGAAGGCTCGATGTGCAAGCAGTAAGGGAAGCACCCTGCCTTGTTCATGGCGGCGAAAAGACGTCACATCAACGGCACACGCAGCTGGCAATCATGTGGGGAGGTGACATGTGGCTGGGTGGCAAGTGGTGGAAGCTGTCCGGTCTGGGAGCTGTTGTGCTGGGTTCTGTTCTCAGCCAAGCTGGGCTCCAAGCTACCAAGCCCAAAAGTACCGGCAGGACCACGTCAAGCGCACCATGACGTAACCAAAACGTCACAAGAGCTATCAATGCAGGCCTTGTGTCTCACCAGCAAGGATGCCTATCTTCAGCCCAGGCCCAAGCGTTTGGGAGACTTCAACTATAGCCTCGGCAACATGAATGCCAGGACTCGTGGAAGGGGACAGTCTGAACATGCCGTTGCAACTGGAGGCAAGCTTTCAGCAACTTGTCACATTTCGCATGTTAAACAAAAGCCGGGAAATCTATCTGTGCATGTGGCTACTCTGACATGGTGAAACTATTTTCAGCTTGTTGTGCCTTAACTTCGAATCGGCACAAGACCAAGTGCGATCCTGCAATGTCTACGGAGCCCAAGCGTCTATATCACAGTTCCGAAGCTGCAACTGCTCACCACAGCATCATGGCAATAAACTTGCCCCTCAAAGGGCAGTTCCAGATCTTCAATGCACCACGAGCAAGGGTGGTACCACGTGCTGCAGCTTTGTTCGTTTTAGTCGCAGAAGTGATGGATACTGCCGTCGGATGGCACCAGGTACAGGACGAAAAGGAGGGTACTGCATGTTCATGGGATCTCGACATCTTTTGCCCGTGGAGACATGAAGCGCTGTGCTGATTCCAATATCTGTTCGCCATGCACGCCTCGCTCTCGGCAGTTTGCCAACCCCTTGAGCTGGATCTCCCAGCCACGAAAGCAAGCTGCACAAGTCATCCTTTTCCAGCTTGTTCGCCTTTTGAATTTGCACGCCAGTGACGTGCGCCGTTGTCTGTCTCGATCAGCCTGCCTGTGGCCGGCACCTGCACTAGTTGTGCCGGAAGAACCATGGCCTTACTTCACCCATGTCCTGGCTAACACGCAAGTGAAGCGAAAATTGACAGCGACATCTTCTTCTGCGCGATGCGACTTATCCGTTCCAAGGACATGCACACAGGCGACCAAGACACGGAAAGACTTCCTCCATTGCAACAGTTGGTGTCCAATCCGATTGCGTGCGGGTACTGTTGGAAACCACGTGGTGCATCCTTCTGCTGGTGAAAGCATATGTTAGATAAATGAGTGGTAATGCTCAATCAGAATCTGAGAGGTCTGCTGAAATGGTGCTGCCAGGCATCATGCCCGAACATTACCATTTTCGGCATGTCACTCATCGGGCTGCCAGCAACCTGGGGCGGTCAAACAACCTGTTACAGAGCTCAGGTGGTGGCAAGGTGCGGCAAGGTTGACAAAAAGAACAACGAACAGCATGTACTTGGGCTTTGCCGGTACCGGCATGTACGAGCTGCTTGCCCAAATTCCAGTGTCTGTAGGCTTGCAGGTGCCTGCGGAGACTCTGCTGTGTATATTGCTGCGGATATGGCCTGCTGCTAGGTCCATGGCTACTCATCCCAGCTGGCTTAGGCGAAGATGTAGCTTATAGGAAGCTGGTGACACCCCCGAGACTGCCGGGCAACCCAGGAGCTCCAAGCTGCAGCCCACCTTGGATGAAAGGATAAAGCCATTTGGCCCTTCGGAGATTATCAAACCAATCCGCCGCGGCACGGCTCACCAGCTCGGACATCGTGCACGGCTTGATAGATCTTCGTCTCCGACCCTGCTTTTGCCAGATTCCCTGGGATTCAATGATTCAAGCCAAACGTGCTTCCGCAGGGGCTGGCTTTTCTCTGTGTGCTGTTGAGTGACGTAACATTACCATATCTTCCAATGACTGCTCCTCTAGCCTTACCGAATCCGGGATTCACAGCTCCGACTCAACATGTTGCACGTGTCTGAAGTCGATTTGTGCCAAGCTTGTTCAAGCCGCGGTCTGCCCGGCACCAATCCGGCATGCACCAAGAGAAGGTCGGCATGATCTGGCAATCGAATTGTAAAAGGCAACTTCCGGATGAAGTCCAAGTCAGCCTCAGTCCTTAAAGAAAACATCCCGCGCGGGAACGTCGACAGAAGGCAGCACAGCTTCCGGGATCTCGATGGTCTGCATTGAACCGAGGCGCAGCAGTGGCAACCACTCCCAGCTTCCATGCTCGTCGGGTTCGGGGATGGTGCCACTCGCTTTCCATAAGTTCCACTTTTGCAGCCTTTTTTGGCGGGAAACGATATGCCACACTACACGACAAACTCAAAAAATATCGAACAAGCACTAAAAAAAGTATGCCTGCCTCAGCCCTGCGTCCCTTGAGGCAATGCCATTAACTCCAGGAAGCGCAATGAAGTCGTGATTGCCAGCAATTGCATGTAGACCTTTCTCCCGTGCCAAGCAGACAACTTCTCTAGAATGAGGTCCTTTGTTCACCAGATCGCCAAGCAGGATGACCACCTCGCCCACGCGTAGCTTCTACATATTTTTGCGACGTCCCGCGTCGATAACTCAGTTATGTAAGCCAGGCATCGTCACCATTGCCTGGGGAATACTCACACTTGTCCTGATCAGCTTGCCACAAAACAACAACGGATTCATCACAGCACACCACAGCTGTGCTGGCTCGATCGAGGTGCCAAAAGCTTCACAAGCTCATGTGCACAACCATGCACATCGCCGATGACAATGACGCGAGCGGAACCTGCTGCCAAAACAGCTCAGTTTCTGGCTCTCTTGACTTAATTTGCCAACCGAACCTGTGCTGAGGACATGGTGTGTTGTCGCTTCACAATGGCGCAGTTCAGCAATACTCATGGCAAGAACGGGGGGCAGGCGGAACACGAGCAAAACGCTGCAAGCGAGAGACACCAACCGTCTTGCAGACATGGTGAGTGCAAGTGGTGAATTCGCAGTCCAATCTCATCGAGCATCAAGCTCCCGACAGGTTCTAGCACCATGTCCCTGTCATGCACACATCAGATGGCTTTCATGCCGACCCCGAGCCACTTCACAAAGCAACTCCCCAGCTTGTTCAGGGCCTTGTCAGGTCGATCTCCGCTGTTCGCGGAGTTTTTGGATGTCTTTCCAGTTGCTTTGCACTGAACATTCGACTCAAGGCTAGTGAAGGCCAGTGAGTATTGTTCTTGGTTTTCCGATCAGGTATCGGACTGCATGCAATATTATCTGGCATATGGACCTCGAGTGCAGTTGCTGCATATTGCGCTGCATATGCTGCGAGGGCGAGCGCAAGTTCATGCTCAAGGGCTTGCAGATGCAAAGGGAACAACATCTTCACCAAACTTGCGCATGGACCCGCTCCCAACCTCCGCCAAGAGCTGTTCCCAAACCACGAGACGACCTGCGAAAGGCTGTCTCCCGGCACTGAACCTCGTGCAAACACGACTTTAAGTAACGGACGAGCGCCTGGTGACACGGTGAGGACTTCGGGCCTGTGCGGAGATTTGGACGAAAGCCTGTTAGACTCTCGACTCTGCCCGCCTCTCCAGGAGCTTTCGCTGACCTGTGGTTTCCACTCCGCTGTACAGACCCAGAATTGAATCTCAAGCTGAACATACTGTGGCAATCTAGCTTGCAAGAGACATCAAGAGACAAGCAGGCAATCACTGCGTCATGCCACTCCAGAGGAGACGGCTTTTGCTCAACTTTCGGACATCGAGTCTGAAGCATGCCTTAGTGCAGTCATGTGCAGTCCCACGATCCGGCATAGAGTTTGCAAGCATGCCCGATCAGTTTTTGCTGCATTGCCAGGCCTGCTCACCCTGATTCCCTGCACTCCTCTTGAAGCCAACCGCCTCAAAAAAGTCCGTTGCCTCACAACACAGTCTTCCAAGTAAACGCAGTTCTCCTGCACCCCAAATGCCTCTGCGGAGTGATCTTTTGGAAGCACGGCCACGATGCAAACGCAAGTGGGATTTCGCCTCAGCATCCACACATGCCCGGACGAGGCGCTGCAAGCTTTCACTGTCTGAGGCACATGCTTGGCAACTTGCCTGACGGATTTCACCTGTGACTGTGGGATGTTTCCAAGAGGAACTGATGTCGGAGACGGTTCACGCATGCTGTGCTCGAAAGCTGAGCTGCAACAGCGTTGTGTAGTTGCGTCCAAGGTTCCAGGGCTCGTCCGATGTGCTGTCGGCGGCCGGTCGGCACAACGCCGATATATACTACCTGCACCGTAGCAAGCTGCAATGTCACGAGCATGCAAGAGCAAATCACAAGAAAGAGAACAGGACAAAGAGACAAGAAGAACTGAGAAGGCACGAGGACTCAGAAGTGCCAAGAAGCGCGGAAGGCTCAAAGACTAAGTCGCGCCTGCAGCAGCTGCTGCTCCAAACGGTGCAGCGCCAAGCCCAGAGCCTCTTGGCAGAGAGAGGGCAGACCGCAGGACCGCAGGGCACCAAGCAGAGCCATCGACCTCCCAGTTGCAGCCGGTCCCTGGGAAGCCAGGGGGTCATCCTCTACAACCGCCACATTTTGCAGAAAATGCTCCCAGCCAAGCTGCAGCGCAAGCTCGCGGACACTTTCAGGCCGTTCTTCTTCGACACGACGTCCCACCTAGATGCCCCGAGCACAAGCACTAGCCTTCTCCATCGCTTGATAACTACTACTCACCACTCCCCTCTGGACCGCGTCATCTCACTGCTTATCAACGCATGGCAGGCGGACACATCGAAGTTCAGCTCCGAGGATGCTAAAGCCACAGCGTCGAGGACCCCTGGATCGACCTGCTGTTCACTTCTAGCGCCCAAGGCCTTGCAGGCTGCATTCTTCGTGCCTTTCCCGGTCGAACGTCCGAGCAGATCGACACCTGCAAGGAAAGACCGCCTGTGTGCAAGCACTTCTCGGTGCCGTATGGAGCCTCCATGCTCCTGGACAACAACGGCTTCGAGCTGCCTAGTCAAAAGAAGCTGATCTTGCAGGCCTCTCTGCTTTTGCCACTTTCCGACCATGGCTAGCTGACACAAGGGTGCAAGGCCCGAGCTTGCTGCAGGCTCGTCTGCACCTGACGCTGCCCGGGCATACAAGTACCATAACTGCATCCACAGCGATGGGATTGCCGTGACACTCCGGAGAAGCGTACCTCCAAGAGAACAGCGATCAGGTTCAAGGGGCTCCGGCTCAACGCCATGCTCGTCCTGACAATCTCCCAAGTGGAGCGCAACTCAAGACACATCATGAATCATCCACGAACGAAGCAAGCCGGAACTTCGATCGAGCAACCTCACCGCCACTGCTTGAATCAGACGAAATAACCTGAGGTGGATACCAAGCTCATGTCACTTCCAGACACCACTCCACTCCATAGCTTGGGCAAACGCAGCTTCTAGCAGCTGCTGTGTTGACAATACCTCCATGCTTACTCTGAACAATTTTTACAAAGGTGGTGCCGGTGACGAATCTCACTCTGGGAAGCCTTCAGCTTTTCCAGAAGTTTCGCTTGCGCATTCGGTCCAGCTCGACGTGGGCCTGATGCTTGCTTGGCTGTGGGCTGATAAGCAAACACTTATCATCAGAATCGGAATCCATGCTACAGTCGTCCCAGCATTTTGATGCTTTTTCCGACTGAGCAGTTTGTTGCTGCCTTCGCGATGCTCCGGAGGTGCAGCAGCAGTCGCATGCGAAGAACGTAAGGAGCACAAGTTGTCCTGATCATACGCGCTCTTTGCCACGCTCATGCCCATCTGAAAACATGGTCCACATCCTGAAACGATGCGGTTTTACCTGACCCCGCGATTTAGCGTCCTCGCTTCCGGCCTTTTTTTGTCGCCGTTGGCTCACCTATTTTGCTGTCTCGTTTGGAAATCACGCCTGCACTTGCTCGAATCGCGATCGACCTGGCAAGCCCAAGCCCACCTTCTCATAGGCAACTCTGAGACTTTCGTACCTGCATTGAAGGGGTTCCTACCACAAGCCCATGCGACGGCTCTGCTACTGCAGTTTTACTACGCTGCTACGAAAGCTGACCTGCCACAAAAGTACCCTTCATGAGCTCACTTTGCTGTGATCCATCGGCTCAAAGGCTTCCGGAACCAGCTCACGAAGAAGGCGGCCAAAGCGATCTGAATCAGGTTCGGTGATGTACTCAGTGCGTTTGCGCTACGAAGGGAAGATCACCTGGACAACGAGGATGTTGAATTCTACCTGCTCCAGTGTGATGTCATGTCAACATGTGTTTGGCGACTGCCAACAACGGAAACATGCAGCGAACCAGCCTGGCGCATGTTGCCGACTTAACATGCTACCAGCATGGTTCTCCGCGTCGGGCAAACAGTGCACACGTGGATGACAGACACAATCTGCAATCAACAATCGTTTTCGGCTTTTCTCGAACGTGCGACCTCTCGTGCCGATGGCTGCCGAACAAAATTTAAGTTACGCAAAGGGCAGGGAACACACTTTAACCACAGCCCTGCTGCATGCCAAGTTCGGATGCACAAAGATAACGTGGACCTCAGAATGGAATGGTCCCATGCGCTGGGGTGCTTCTTCAACAAAAGTCAAAAAGATAAAATCCAAAGAAGTTGTATGCTGCAGGACGCAACCGGAACACACGATTCCTAGAATCGTTACAGGATTGTCACCTCGCGCCCAGCTTCGCAAAGGGAGGATGGCAATGAAAGATCACCTCGAGCTAAAACAACACGATTTGGCGTCGAGCCGGCTTCAACTCCACACATTTGGTGGCACACTGTAAGTACGAGGGAGGACGGTTCGCACCCCCCCCATGAGTGCAAGCAGATCGTCAGAACCGATGAAAATCACATGAAAAATGCCGGTGCCACATCTGGATTGAACCAACGGGTGGCATGGACAAGAATGACGTGTCTTGGGCTTCTGGTCCTTTCTGTCTTTTTCCTTGACGTTGAGCAACCCTCTTGCACAGTTTTTTTTGGCGTACGCAGGCCTCAGTAACAGCGGCTGCTGCGCTCGGTCCCAGTGAGAAAGAATGGCAATCTTCAAAAAAACTATACAAGGGTGAAAGCTTCAAAGAGCAACGAAAAAAACGAGTACAGGTTCGAAAACTACGTTATCTACCGGTGCTGCACAAGCCTCTTGCGCTAACCCTCCAAATTGCACAAGGAAGGCAACAAACATTACTGGAGGAGGCATGTTATGGTGCATGTTTTCGAAAGGTTTTTTCGGCCTTGAACAGCCCGTCAAATCTGACAAAATGAAGGTCGGAACAAGCTCGAGACTCCCTCTATCCGCACAAAACCGCGAAACCACACACAACGTCAAACGCGGGGATTCTAGTTGCTTTTGCGATAATGACAGACAGAACAACTTCATCCTGAGAAGTAATCCACAAAGTACGAAAAATCCGAAATACCACCAAAACACACCACCGGCGATATGCTGCTAATACAATCACTTGGACTCCAAGAGTTACAAAAACTTGTATTGTGCCATTTTTTTCGTTTTCCTCTTTGGCTTTTGATCTGTTGCCGCGGTACAACTTTCGCGTCCAAATATTCCAGGCCAAAAAACTAAATTGTCGCAATTTTTGTGGAGCAATGCCGCCAAATCAACTTACCAGAAGTTAAGGGTTGCAGACGGCAAAGAGAAGCGGATGCAGTCTCTTTGGATTCAAGCAGACATCTTTGGGTCTATGCCAAAGAAAACCAAGAAACTTTATTTACTTTCTAGAATCCCTACTACTGACCAATTGGTCTCGGAACTGCACATGCTGTAAGCGATGGTTGGCTTTTTCAAGTAACCTTCTTCTACCAGCTTTGAAGTCCAGTTCTGACAACAATCTAACAAAGAGTCGAAATGCCAAGTACCTTTCCATTTTAGCGTGGCAATAACATAAAACTTCAGTACAAAGCAAATCTGAGCCAAACTGAGAATGGATGCGGGTGCCGCCGACGCTGGCTGAACTTGCAGTGCAAGGTGCAACTGCGGTGCGGTGCCAACTAGCTTGCAGAGCCCGGCTGTGA